GGATGGACAGATGGATGGAGGGACAGACAGATGAATGGATGGGTGGAGGGATGGACAGAAGGAGGGAGGAAGGAACAGAGAGATGGTCCGAGTAAGGGATGGAGGGACAGATGGATGGTTGGGGGGAAGGATGGAAGGATGGACAGAGGGAGGGAGGGAGGAAGCACCAGAGAAATGGAAGGCGGAACAGACGGAAGGACAGATGGTCAGAGGGAGGGATGGAGGATGGTGGGCTGGAGGCGGGAGGGAAGGACAGACAGATGCCCGGGGGGTGCGAGTCGATGCCAACACTCCTGCACCCCAGACCCTGTCAGGGGACACCTGCACCCAGCTGCAGGCCACCCAGCAGCTCCTGCAGAAAGCCTGCACCCAGCCCACAGAGAAAAACCTGCAGGTGATGTGGGGGCGGGCACACGTGCGTGCCCGGGGCTGGGCGTGTCTGTGTGTCCATGTGTCCTATGTGCATCCCCTGCACACATGTGCATTCCCATGTAGAACCCCACGTCCAGTCCCTACACATGTGCATCCCTTCTGCGTGTATCCCCTACACGTGTCTGTCCTGGTGTCTATTCCTTACACATGTGCATGGCCTGTGTCTGTCCTGTACATGTGTCCCCTACACATGTGCATTTCTGTGTCCATCCCTTACATGTGTTCATTCCATGTCCATCCCCTACACATGTCCATCCTCCTGTGCATCCCTATCCCCTACTCACGTGTATGTCCCGTGCCTGTCCCCTACACGTGTCCGTGCCCAGCGTGAATCCCTACTTGTGTGCATCCCCATATATGTCCATCCCATATGTAGCCCCTGTACATGTGTGCACCTCATGTACACGTGTCCAGCCCACGTGCACCTCCTGTACATGTGTCCATCCCCACGTACATCCCTCCCCTGCATTGCCCTCCCCCATGTGCATCCCCCTGACACACACGTGTGCCCTGACACGTGCCCCCCCCCCCCCCCGCCCGTCCTGAACAAGCTGCAGAGAGGCCAACACCACCAAAGCCACCAATCTGCTGCTGCAGAGCACCGAAGCCCTTGTGCTGCAGGCAGCCCTCAAAGGCTCTGGCTCTGGCCCCCAAAACTTCAGCACCTCTACCATGGGTACGCCAGCACCCATGGGTGCCCCCAAACCACCCCTTGAAACCTTGCAGCACCCGAAAAGCATTGCAACACCTCCAAAAGCATTGCAATGCCCCCAAAAGTATTGCATTGCCCCAAGAACCAGCTTGGTGGCATCACTGTATCCCTTCCCCAAGCTCTGCAAGAGCACAGGGCAAGAACACCCAGGGGAGGAAAAAGACCCCAAAAAAGCCTTTTTTTCACCCCAAATCAGAGGCCACAGTGGAGGTGGTGCGTGACAGCTGCCCTCAGCCCACGCTGGTGCTGGCGGTGGGCAAGGAAACCCTGACCATCAGCTGCCATGAGGTGGTGAGCAATGGCCAAGCAGGTATGGCCACCATGCTGCTCAAAAAAAAGCTCAAACCCCAACAAATTTGGTATTTTTGGGGGTGCGTTTTCACCCAGTTCTCTGGGCAGATGAGCGTGCAGTGGCCTTCATCGTCTACAAGGAAGTAGAGAGGTTGCTGAGTAACATCACGAAGGGAAAGATCAACTCCCACGTGGTTGGTGGCACTGTGGCAAAAGCTGGCAGCACCTTTAACGGCACCTTCAACATCACCCTGCAGCACCACACGGTGGGTGCTGGGGGGCTGCCCTGGGATTGGGGGTGCTTCTGGGGGGTGCACGGGCTGGGGATTTGCACGAGGGAAGCGTAAGAGGGTTTGTGGTATCGGGTGCATTACAGCAAATTATAACGGGGGTTGGCAACAGGGCATCACCACAGGGCAAATTTGGAGCGTAGTGATGGTGAATTTTGGGGTTCATCCCCATCCCGGTGCAAATTTGGGGTTGGTGCATGCCCGTTCAGGTACAAATTTGGCTCCTGTGCAAATTTGGGGTCAGTGCATCTCCACTGCGGTGCAAATTCAAGCTTGGCACATCCCCATCCCATTCCACACCCAATCCAATGGTGGGATGCTCAGCAGGCTCTCCAGGCGGGTGAGAAGCCGCTCTGCGTGTACTGGCAGGTGAACGGCACCAAAGGCCACTGGGTGCCCTCGGGCTGCACCCGTGTTGGGGGTGACACCCTCCACTCCATCTGTGCCTGCAACCACTTCTCCACCTTCGCCATCCTCATGGCCGTCCACCCTATCACGGTAAGATCCCACTTGCACCCTTAAAATAACCATTTTTGGGGTGTTTTCTTCCTTCCTGAACAGTTCTGTGTGGTCACACACTGGATGGAACGTGTGTGTTGTCATGCATATGATGTCACCTGCAGGAGAGCTTTGCGCTGATAGTGGTGACCTACGTGGGGATGTCAGTATCGTTGGTCTGCCTCTTCCTCGCCATCGTCACCTTCCTCCTGTGCCGCTCGCTCTGGAGCGTCAGCATCACCCTCCACCTGCAGCTCAGCATCTGCCTCTTTGCTGCCGACCTCCTCTTCCTCGTGGCTGCATCTTACGTTGCCAACCAGGTATGGGCTCCTTGGGGTCCCCTTAGGTATCTTGGGGCCTTGAGGGGCTCCTCAGGGTCATCTTGAACCTCCTGGGGGTCCCCACAGGCTCCTCAGGGTCTCCTTGAGCATCTTGGGGCCTTCAGGGGCTCCTTGGTATCTCATTTTGCTCCTCTGGGTCTCCACGAGGTCTTTGGGGAGCTTGTGGTGAAAAGGACCCAGGGACACGGCTCTTGGCTGTAGCCTCTACCCTAATAGCTCCAGCAGACCTCCTGCATCTCAGGCTGGGTGGATGCAAGCACCTGGATTATGGGATAACTGAGGCTGGAAGGTTTGGTCCAGCCCCAATTCAAAGCAGGTCCAACTAGTTGAGGTTCTTGAAGGTTGTTGGTTCTGTTTTTGCTCTGGGTGAGTGGCAGCACCTGAATTACAAGATAATTGAGGTTGAACAGGATGTTTGAAGGTCTCCAGACCAATCTCCGCTCAAAGTGTGTCCAACTAATTGAGGGTCTTCAGAGTTGTTGAGTCCCATCTCTCTCCAGGTGAGTGAAAGTGCCTGAATTACAGGATAACCAAAGTTGAACAGGATGTTTGGAGGTCTCCAGACCAATTCCAACTCAAAGTAGGTCCACCCAACTGGGGTTCCTCAAGGCTGTTGGGTCCCTTCTTCTCTGTGGGTTGAGCCAATTGAATTATGGGATACCTCAGCCTGGAAGAGACATTTGGATGTCTCTGGTCAGCTTCCAGCCCAAAGCATCTCCTTGCGGTTCCTCAAGGCCATGTGGAACATCTCCAAGTGCCAGAGATGCCACCACCTCCCCAGGCCACACTGTGGTGACACTGGGGAGCCTAACATGGCCTTGTTGTCCCCCATCAAGCTGGCATGTGCCATCATAGCGGGCTTGCTCCACTACCTATTCCTCGCCTGCTTTGCCTGGATGTTCCTGGAGGGTTTGCACCTCTTCCTCACTGTCAGGAACCTGCGTGTCCTCAACTACACCAGCACCAGTCGCTTCAGGAAAAGATACATCTACCCTGTGGGCTACGGCATGCCGGCCATTGTGGTGGCCATCTCCGCCGCCATCCATCCTGGTGGCTACGGCACTGAGCACTAGTGAGTCCCACCAGCACCCAGGCTGGGGTCAACCAAGTGGGGTGGGATCATCAATGGAGAGAACATCATGCATTTTGCCTAAATCATATTCCCCCCCCCCCCCCAAAAAAAAAAAAAAAAAAAGATGCCACAGCATCCAGATGCAGGTATTTTCATGCCAGCAAAATCACCAATGGAGTTTTGGGGTATTCTTCCTTTTTTTTTTCCTCCCTTTTTAGCTGCTGGCTGAGCATGGAGGGAGGCTTCATCTGGAGTTTCCTCGGTCCCATCTGTGTCATCATCCTGGTGGGTGTTTTGCTGCTGAAAGCAGGTGGAGGGGGAAAAATTGGGGCAAAAATAGCAAACTTAGACTCACCTTTAAGGACAGTATTAAGCAAATACCCCAGGGGCTGGGTGTACTCGGTGAAGGTCATGCCACAGTGCATCAGTACCAGGTGGTTTTTTTTTTTTGCACCATTGACCCTTTTCCACCCCAAATTTTTGCCCCGTGGACCCTGCCTTGCAAAATGATGGGTTTCTGCTTTCTGCCCAGGTTAATTTGCTATTCTTTCTCACTACCCTCTGGACTCTACGGGACAAACTCTCCTCCCTCAACGCTGATGTCACGGCCTTAAAAAACACCCGGTGGGTTTTTACATTGTTGGAAAATGTGTCAGATTTTTGGGGAGGAAGAAGAGCATCTGGGATGGGTTTTGGGTGAAAAAAGAGCAAAATGAATGTTCCATCAGGGTGATGACGTTCAAGGCGCTGGCACACATCTGTATCCTGGGTTGCACGTGGGGACTGGGCTTGCTGCAGGCACAGGGGGACAACATAGTGGTGGCCTTCATCTTCACCATCATCAACACCCTGCAGGGAGCCTTCATCTTCCTCGTGCACTGCGTCCTCAACCGGCAGGTACCATGGGGGGGGATACGGGGGTCCCAGGCATCCGGGGACACGAGAGGGGATGGGGACCCTCAGGACGTGGCTGTGGGTCCCATCCACAGGTGATGGAGCAGTACCGGCAATGGTTTAGGGCGCTGGGGCGACAAGCGTACCCCCACGAGATGCCCACCAGCGAGATACAAGTCACCTATGTCACGGTAAGGGCACCTGGACAACAGGGTCCCTGTGGGGTGCTGGGTGGGCACCCAAACATCTGGGTCCTCTGGTTGCCACTAAAAAGAGGTAGGGCCCAGGGGTGGCATGGAGGAGGCTGCCCCAGGGTGCTCGGGGGTCTGGTAAGAAACCACCAGAACCTCTGCCCCATTTTTGCCCATTTTGGCTCCGTTTGGTCCTCGTTTCACCCCAGCATGGCCCCTTTTGTCACCCTCAGGAAGGGGAGAGGCCACAAAGCCACAGCGCCGAGGGCTGCGCGTGGGAGAAGTGACAGCAGGTGCCATCCAGGACTGACCCGTTTCTGGCATCCGACCTATTTCCAGCATTTTCTGGTGCATCCAACCCATTTCCAGCAGTTTTCCAGCACATCCGACCCATTTCCAGTGTATTTCCTGCAGATCCAACCCATTTTCCTGCT